ATTGGCGGCAGGTAGAAGGCCTGACAGGTTGCCAGAGTGTACAACCAACACAGGCTCTCCTTGTCCAAGTTCCGTCAATTGTCAGCTTTACCGACAGCATCGCGGAGTTTGCCTGGAAGCCTGAAAAACCAGACTTCTGCTCCGCAAATATGGTCTGGTGGAGCTGCAGAGGTATCTCAGAGCCTCCCTTATGCTCCCTAAAACCCTAAGGGTCGACATTTTAAAGAAGCCTTTCAAACCTTTGAACAGATATTCGGGAAAGGCTCTTCCTTGTTTGGTTTCCATTAACAATTTTTCAAACCCGTAATAGGAATTTGATGACTTCTTGGACCACTTAGTAGTGGTCAATCAGGAATGCGAGAGATGTTACTTTAACTCTCTGATAAAAGGCTAATTTAAATCAATAGTTCTTACTTACAGCCGTCAAGCGTCAACGTGTACTGACCCCAGAACGCAGTTGTTCCATCTTTTCGGGACGAATCATTTCGTGACGCTTAACGAGATTCTCACCGAGTATCTCAAACGAAGTAACATGCAGCAATCCTCCAAGATGGTCCAATCTGGTGTCTTAGGAGTCCTACAGTCTGTGCAGGTAAACTAGCCACCAAAACTCTCGATATGAATTTCCCGTTCACTCTCCAACTACCAAATCTGGGAGCGAGACAGACCGCCCAACTCACCCATGGAGAGCATAGGACACTTTGGGACCTGGCGCTTTGTCAGACTCTGCCTATACTATCAGCATCGGTGTCAGCAATGAAAGGTCATGGGTCACAAGGACGGATAATACCAGTCACTCCAAGCCATCAAGGGCAAGTGGAGCCTCTGCTTCTCCTGAAGTAGAGGCCAAAGTTCAAGCCAGCTGGACCTCAGCTGCTCACTACCGGTCTTGGCTCCTGACATTCAATAGCGGACAGCCTCCGATAAAACACTTCAGCAAATTACACGCTACGTCCAAGGGGGATGGTCTAAAAATTCCTTTGCAGGAGATCTCTAGTGGCGACGAGAGTTCCTTGGCGTTGTAGACGGCTGTTTTATGTGTGGAGAACGCGTTTTGCTCTATAAATCCCTTTGTTTACATCTTTTTCACTAATTTGCTTATGGGTTCCCTGACATTAGCAACATATATTCCGTTGCTTGCAATTGTACCATCTAGCTGCAAATGGATTAAATATCACTGCCTCTGATGCTAGCAGGCCTAAAAGAATGCCTAAAAGTTTTTGCCGTTCCTTGGTCACTGCCACAAAATCCTGATTTCTCATCCATATCGATATTGCAGAACCGGTCAGCGAGATTTCGTACCTTGTGTTTGTAGATGCCCCCTCAAAGTGTCTGTAGATAATTTCTACAAATTCTACCACCCCCAAGACAACAATTCACGCACTGCCGCAAATTTTCAATCAAGACGAATGTCCAGAAACCATCTTGTTAGACAATGGCTTCGAGTTAACTTAAATCAATTTTAGGAGCTCTGCAGGCAAAACGCCATCACGCGCATTCGACCAAGCCCTACCACCCTCAGTAAAACGGACAATCTTAACACTTTGCCGATACCTTGAAGAGGGCGTTGCTAAAGTCTTGTAAAGAAGGGACGATATCAATCGACACTCTACATAACCGCCTCCAAGTTCTCGTCCAACACTACATGAGTCTTCTTCGAACCGACAACCATGGATGGTAAATTCGGGTGTCGAATTCCGCTGTCTTCGTTTAATGCAGGACCCTGAAGACACCACTCATTGAATCTGGCACATAACCTGATATTGGGACAAAAATCTACGTTCGGGACTACTGATAGGGACATAATCCACGGTCATACGCTGACACCGCAAGGTCATGTTTGATGTGACGGTGGGTCAAGGCATGTGGTCAAAACATTGCAACTATCCTAGACGGGGAAAGGCTTCATGGAGCCGAATCCACAGTAAAGCAACCCTCAGGATTCGGTCTTCGACACCTTGTGGCTGCCAACACTAAAAGGACAACCAGACAGATATCAGTTAGCGGTGATCCTGTTATCACCTCCAAGACCGGTTAGTCGAAGACGAAGACAGCAAATGCTAATTCAGGTCGACCATAGGAAAAAAGCACGTTAAAATTCAAGGTTGAATGCTGCCGAGGTTTCAGAATCCTCAGAACTACATATTTAAGATTTACTTAATTTAACATTTTTTGCTATCTTTGGTGTTGTTTAATACCATTTTATATATCAATATCAACTTTCATCCTATCAGGCCATCCATCTTTGAGTGTGCCATTATTCTGAATTTCACACTAGGACTCTGACGCCATATGTAAGTGGGGCATCTGAACATGTACTCGGCCTCTCTACACGTGACAGACAAAGGGTGAGATCATTTAGGCTCAGTAAGCCGTAACACAAAGATGTCAAGTAGCTTGTGATCGGATCCTTTACCCCCGCGAATAATTTAAGTGCAGGTGAATCTGCGGTTCTGAGTAATTTGATGGACTTTCAAACAACGGCGACGGAACTTCCGCTTTTAAACCCTAGACCGCACTTTCTTGACCTTTACTTCAAAAAGGACAATGAGGCCAAGATGAACGATCATGTTGGTTTTAATCACTAATGTTCCACCTGTGTACACTTCGTTGGTAACTCTCCTGCTCACACCTTGATTTAATTGCTGATGAAATAAACTCAACAAAAACTAAAAACCTTTGGAACAATTGATTCCTTCGAGACGGCGAGTTGCTCTGATACGTCACGAACGGGTTGAAGGTGCCGAAAATATCGCAAAGAGATCAAATAAGCGATTGATGTCCTTTGGATCTCCCATATGGTAATGGTTGTTGTTACACCACGATTGTTGTAAATTTTAATTAGTTTCGCTGATGACAAAGAGTTGTGTTTTCTTTACGGTATCTATTATGAAGTAGTGTACTTGAAATTTATTGTCTGCATTCTTTTACCCGGTGTCGTAACTCATGCTAGTAACTTCTAAAAATAAACCGAATTCTTTGTCACTACTGCAAATAGGGTCCGTGCGGGATTCAGGTACATATGTTTTTTGCTTTTAGCTGTTTTGACTTCAACATCATTAGCGTGGGACTTATTTGAAGGAATCCCAGGGATCAATATTTAATGGGTATGTACTACTCCTGCAAGGTTTTCAAGATGGTAATTAATTGCGTGCATGAAATGCTTTGAATCACTGCTTGATTGTTCTGGAGAGCCATTTTAATAGTAACGCATAAGACAAAAGCTTCTCTTTATAAATTTTATGGTGCTCACCCCTTGACATCCCCTTAAGGCTAACAAGTACACGATGTATTGTTAACCATGTAGAATCGCGTTCCTCAGCCCTATCGACCCATATTCAACCACCTTCGTAGGTCACCCCTTCCAATACTCTCCCTTTTAGGAAACTAGCAATCTTAGAAACGGATCGCTGCTAAAGACAGCTTCATCTGTGCTCATCCATCTTGACCCATTGGATCAACGTCGTCCATGATTTATACAGGCGTGCAGATTCTGACGCGCCACTCTACCTTTGGTTGAAACAGTATGGGGGTCTGCATGAGGTCCTGTACTGAGAATGTGGGAATTGCGTTAGGCAAAGGTTTGTACATTGGTTCTCAGGGCGTGTGGTCCTGGTTGGGAGCTAAACCTAACACTGTGCCTGCTCAGAGATTCGCCCAACCGAGACGCAACCGTTTATGCGTCCTCCGTGTACGTATACGATAAGAGCATGCCCGATCTTGTGTGTACACAGACAACTGAATTGAGACATCCAATGAACGGTTGTGACTGGGCCCTGGTGTGCGTCAAGACCCATAATGTGAAAATTTGCAGGCATTTGTAAGCCCTAGGCCGCACTATAAAACACCAATCACGGAGACCGTAGCACACAACCACCATAATGCTAACAATACCGCACTGTTATGGCACACCCAGGCAAACGTAGTGATAAACAGACACGTAATTTTCGATAAACAGTATAACCAAACCAATTCATGCTTCCGGAAGGTTGACAAATCATTTAGTGTTTGTGGGTCTATTCCAGTCCAGGGGACATGAAAACGGTCAGATAATGGTCTGAAATTGACATTCGTAAGATAAGGAGACGTTTCATTGACATTTCATACTCCTTCAGTAGATGAGGTGGTACATTACTCGAAGCTATGCCGTTTCTAAGCTCAATTTGGAGGACTATAGTAAATCGATGACAACTACATCAGGAAACCCTAAGCAATAAGCTGCTGATTTGGATTTAAGCCAATGATAGTTGTCAACAAAGACCCAAACTGTAAGGTGCACTACCATAATTAGGTGCAAACATGTTAACATTATTAGTTAAAGAAAGGTTTCTCATTTTCTGATGGCATTTTCCCAGATTCGCATGATCACATTTGAAATATCTGAAAATATACCAAGTAATGCGCACACGATAATAGTTCAATTACAGACCCAGATTTAATTAATAATGAACATAAGTTTTTCTTTCTTTTCCTTATTCGTTGGTGGTCCTTTGAGTTTCATCTGTCTTGTCCCAATTTCTGTTTCTTGAAATTAGACATTTGGGCCTAAGATGACTGTTTCAAACATCCAAAGCACTCGGATCTTGTCAAGCCAACTACTTCTTGCACCCTAGGTCCTCGCTCATTAATGACATCTAGCAAAATAGTATTTAAATGCATATTTTAATGACAATCGGTTGCTTTATCTTAATAATCAGAATTAGCGGAGTGATCAACAAAAATACCTCTTAAACTTATTAGTTAGGCTCGTTGTCGCATACTGCTAAATCTGCAATTTTCGGGGATATTTTACAGTATCATAATATTAAACGGCAAGTTTATGAGTATACTTTTTGACAAATAAAAATGTCCTTGAAGTCTAAGTTGATCCACTAATTATCTAACCACCAGATCAATATAAAAAAAATCATAATTTCGAGCTTTTAGAAAAATCAATGTCCACAATTCAATCGATGCGTTTTCAGTTAGGTTGTATTGAAGTGATTATTTTTGTTGCAGTTCACATTCTCGTAGCAAATGTTGCAGCCTACGTTAACCTTCTCCAGTTGTCAGAAACCCTTCCTCCAGCCAATAAGTTTGACTTTTACCGGTTCACTTCATTTATTCACATGAATGAACCTAAGTACAAAAAACTTCGCTACGGATTTCCACCTGGTGTTTATGGATCATCACTTATACCAGTGACATTGTGGTTTGTACACTGGAGTCAATACAGACCTTTCCGTAAGTGTTTCATTTGTTAAAAATTCCAAAGTGAAGTCTTTGAATCATTTTCTTTAAAGCTCAATGTTCAATTATATACAAAAACAGACTGGGAGTGAATTACAGATATGGGACAGCGTTTGAATTTACTTCGTGGGGCTTTGTGGTGCTTGAGGTGTGTGAAAGGAATCAATAATGGGTCTGGTAATTTATGGCTAATCTAGAAAATGTACATCAATTAAGTTGGTCTCGGTTATAACCTTCAGCAAAATCTGCCTACTAAGGTTTTCTTCATTATCATTTTACGAAGTATGTGCTTATGAATTCATTATTTATATCCATTTATAACTGGCAAACTAGATAAAAAAGGGTCCTGATTTTTACCAATGAAAAAGGATAATTAAGTGTGCAACAAAACTGAAACCCGAGTCATTGCCTTAACGAAATTTTTAATGCTTGTTTTCAGTTTTTTTGGGAGGAATCGACATTTTCTACCAAATAACATGGCTGAAAGCATGTAATTCAAGATTCTTTAAAATTACTTCTGAAAATCAGCTAGTCCTGTCACATTGTGCTAAACTTCATTCGTATTTCAGTTATGATACCAAATTTCAGCACAATGGTGGCAATTCCCGTGGATTGGTTTCTGATTGTACGCTCCTGCGATGAAATTTTGCTTCCTCGATGCTCATGGGCCCATTTCATCAACTTCATGCAGCCACTACAGCTCGACTTACAACTAATTGAGCATTCTGGAACGGTGCCTGACGTTTCCAGAGAGAAAGACATCATTCCTTATTTATTTGGCAATTGCTGGCCAATAAGATCGGTTGAACAAGTTAGTCTTATCTACATCTACGCTGTTTGTACCGTGTACTGGAATGTTACTGGATTCGACAGAGAGGTAAATTGGTTTCCTTTAAAATTTATTCATTGTTTTTATCTAGATAGATTTAAAGTCTCGGCACATAATCTCTGTGTGATTTTTGAAGATGCTTTGAAACCCGAGAGGGTCCAACAAATTGTATTAAAACAAAGAAGAAACCTACTTAAAAAATCATTCAATGAAAGAACGCTAAAACAGAAAGTTGTGCTGCATTAACATGCTAGCGATCAAGGATTGCCAACCAATTTTATGATAAGTCGATGTAAACTAAATAAAGTAATTAGAAGATTCCATTCCAAAATTAGATAAAATTGGGTTACATTAGTTATACTCAAACTTACACTTACATGTAGGCAGTGTAAAAAAACTATTTTAAGTAGTTTTACACAAAAAAAATTTCTTGGCTTAATATAGTCCTCCGTTAAAAGCTTAGAAGTGGCGTAGCTTCATGCAATGTGCCGACTCATCAAACTTTAGTACAATTTACAGCATTATTCGAAATAATTTATTAGAAATTTTACAGCATAACATGACCGGGATTGTTTTGTAACCATCCCACAAACCAAGTTCCTCAGGGCAAATTACTTCCACGTTGCAGATCTGCCCTCAACCATGTGCATCGAGTCCCTGTTCCGGTTTATCGTTTGCAAGAGCCGGATCGTGTAAAGCCGTGGGAATACATGAACGCGACTTCGAGTGTGAGTGCAGTGAGGTGAGGTCGAGTTGTGGGACGATTCATGTCAGTAACCGATCAGTTGATCGCCTAAAGCACAAAAGTGCCCAAATTGGTCCAGATCGTGATTACAGTAGAAATCTAGCATTTGCTTGGATGCGCGTCTGAGTAATCCTAGCTAACCAACTGTCTCCTTATCAGTACACGGCTAAAAATATGGTATACTGAACAAATTTAAGGAAACCCAGAGCAGGGTTCATTGGCAAACAAGGCGTGGGTGCAAGAGTGTTTGCTCGAGCCCAAAAATTCATTGCGGTCTCAAATCAGAGTGGGGCTTGCACGTTATGCAGGACCCCACTGGGCACATTTTTGCTGGAGGTCTCGCCAGACACAGGAGTTTGTCTGTGCTTTTATAGAAACCACCAATCCTGGTAGTCTCGGATTTATTTCGATGACATTTGCGTATAAACAACTCCATGGCGTCACTAAGCGCTATTAAGCACGTGGACGTTCTCCTCTGTTTTCACGAGCCTTTCATAGCACGTACGTAGTGCCTCACCCCAACCATAAATCTGCTCCCACAACAATTCAGTGAATCGCCCTTGCCGAACCACGTCATACCTCTAGATGATGAATCCATTTACTAAGTGCCTGGTTTTATGAAGTTGCCATTGTTGACCGAATTCAGATGGTTGGTTTCTCTATTGAAGGGATTTACCTGGAACCGTAATACCTTCGCCTGTATTCCAGAAAGCCATTGTGAAAAAAAATGTCATCCAACACGCACCGCAACCTGTGAGCAAGATTTGAAATCGTGTAAGTAAATCGAAGTAATGCTAGGTAGGTAGAAGGGGCTTTGGGAACTCGGGAAGGATTTCAAACGTTATCTGGGTTTCTATGAATTCTTTTTATTGCACTGTTTTTAGCTACTGTGACATGCATCTGTCGTCTTGGTTATATGGGTCATGACTGTTCTGAGGTGCTGGATGCGTGCCTAGTCGGATCTGATGTTTATAACGCAGCTGAGGTGACAACAGGACCAATAATTCCACCCGGCCGAGAAGCATGCGAAGCGGAAAACAATTGCATTCCACAGTTGGGTACACCAGGCTTTAGTTGTGAATGTGATGAAAAGTTTGCAATGGACCGCGGAAGGTCCTTTGATAACTGTCTATCTCGAAGGGATCCATGTTCTAGCCGAATATGCATTGAGGGCACATGCATTGCCTCTGAGGTTAGTAGAATACAAGATTAGATTATAAACAACACCTCCACATAAATGCATATAGCTCAGCCAGTTCAGTCAATAACTTGGCGATACGATGCCTGTAAGAAGTTCTGTGTATCAATGGGTGTGCTGAGGGCGTCTTCTGACAACATGGTAGTGCTGATTTCGTTGAGTAGCATTCAACATTTCATGACGCACTTTTCGATCACACACAATGAACTTGCCCAGCTTACATGCGTCCCCATTTGGTGTTCTATCCAAAGCGCTGAGGGCACAACTACGAAGTAGAGACAAGTTGGACAATCTCGTCCATCGCAGCACGCTTATGTATACCGACAGGTTAGCGCGAGTGTCCCTGGGTCTTGATTTATATACAAGCACCTGGTGGTGGCTGTGAGCTCGGTGTTATCTATTACATGTCCAGCTGGTCCTTGGGTGTTTCCGTGGCACAGCGTCCTGGTTATTAACTCCACGCTTCATACTTGTGACGAATTGAGACAGAGCACGCACTCGTATTGGTTGGTGATATGTGAGGCAAAAAGAGGAACGTAATTTTACCATACAATCATCGGGCAATGTTGGGCATTTGTGCTGTTCAACTCCCATTTGTGTGCTTTCGCTCTAGGATGGTTCATGGAGCATGTGCGACTGTGAAGAAGGCTTCACGGGTGAACTGTGCAATGAGCCACTTGGTGCGTGGACCGCCTGGTCTGCATTGACGCCCTGTGAGCCTTACTGTGGTGAGCAGCGTCTTCGCCGGCGCGTTCGCGTCTGTTCAGGTGACCTTGAAGAGGACTGCATCGGAGCTGTTGAACATGTACGATTACATAGGACAAAACTGTTCGCCATCGGCGGTCTCACCTGTTAGTACACTATAGGCGAGCTTTTCTCGAACACCTAACCTATGCACAGCAGTTGTATGTGATCATCAAATTGTTACTGCAAGAAGACAACGTACTCATGAATGCGACCCAAGTTAAAACTTGGATAAAACAGCCATGCGCCAATTTCGGTTTGCTATTGATCTTCCAGGTGCTACCTGTGGGTAGGTGACAGGTCTGTCCAAATGGAAGATGCAAGTTGTGATCCAACCTGTTGTATTTTAATAGCATCAACTACAGTAGTCGAAGTAGCAGGTGTGAGCAGATAGGATGAAATATTTCTGTGTTAGAAAGATGCGAGTTAAGTTTGTTGTTTAGCAAATACATTGTCTGCAAGTTGCATTTTCGCAAACCACACTTTCTTGACCTAAAATGTACTAATGCGATGTCAGGCTGATTTGGCCACCATTTATAATCTGCGATAACGACATCGCAGACCACCTGTTGCGGTATGAGCTAACTCGACAAATGAAGTAAGCCACTCTGTCGTTCGCTTGGGAATATATTCCATGCGATTCCAATGAAATTAGCATCCCGTAATTGAACTGCGCACATTGTTGCACCAAGGTGCTCCTGCTTACTCTAGTGCTCCGTGACGGTATCCTGACTTGACTAGATTCTCGAGCGAATACCTATAATGCAGTGAATTAGTGACGACAGAGATAAACTTGCATAGCTTTCTCCAAGCTGATGTTTTAACTAGAGTACACTGAATATGTGAAATGTAAGAATTTCGTTCCTTCAAGGTGCAGTCTTGCCCAGCTGGCGAATCCTGCAAATTGGCATTTTCTTTGGGCGACACGGAGTGGCAGGACTTCTCCGACTGGTTCTGCCTCCTAATAGCATTAAGCGTTGTCTACGTAGGACTTCTTATGCTGGTATTTACCGTGTGTACACTCCTCAAACCTGTTCCGAAGACAGGGCAGGTATTCCGCTTCCCTCATTGAGCAAAACACAATATAACAGATCATTCAACCACAAAAAGTTTTGTTTTTCGGGTCACAGAAGGGTGTTTCAAAATGCTTGTGAAAGTTGTACAGTTCAGTTTACTTACAAACGCTAACATTAGAGCTCCTTAATATCGGGTGATTAGAAGATGTGAGAACGGCAAATATTCGCTCAATATGCATCCTGTCAAGCACACGCTCACACAAGTATTTCTGTCGACGCCGTTTTAGCGTTTTATTCATTCTCACATTAGCCAACATTGCAGCCTGCCATTTTGCTCCAACACTACTATTGGGCAATGTGCGCATATTATTCACCAACCAGACCGTTCTGTTTGGTGCCATTAGCAGAGGACAATTGGCGTACCCCGATGATTGACACCCGTAAGGTAATCCTCCTTTTCTTCTGATATTCACCGTTTCTGTTTTGACGAACAACTTGTGCTTTTTTCCAAAAAACCGTTCCTTTATGACCGACACGAAGCTGTCAACGTAATGACTGAAACAACATTAATGGACCCCGAAACCCAATCAATCACAACAATTTCCAATCGCTTAGATTATATGCCTTTGTTGCATGAGTGCGTGTGCGTGTGAATTATTACTGCTAACATGCTTGTGCACGCTCACGACTTCATTGTTGTTTGTAAGCCGAGCACCACTTCAGTCGGTTTGATAGCACTTTGGTCATGCGTGATAGCATTGTGAGAAGAAGATGAAGAGCACAGATGCCTTTGTGTTGACCTTCAATTCAAGGAAATCCACTGCCAAAACCTCCAAAGCCCCCTCCAATCCTGTGTTCATGTTTGTATGATTTAATCGGCCCACAATAATCACTGGAATTCGCCTCACATGTGAACTCCACGACGCACTGCAAAATTCATCTTAACACGTTTTTAGCATGGGGATATCAATGACAATAGGAAAGTCTTGCAAGAGTTTGCCACACCGAACATTTCCACCATCTGGAAATCGGCTTTAGGTGGCCCAGAGTTACTTACTGGAACAATCACGATGAGGGGGTGCACCAAGCTAATCGTTCACAGATCTTATGTACATTTGCTTAGAGTTGAAGTTCTGCCTATTTTCTAGTTGCATTCAATACATTCAAATGGATGCTCGTATGATTGTCGTTGTGATTCCACAGTCAAAATATGCGCTAGACTTGCGTACATGACGTGTATTTTTCGGCATGGAAGATGTAGCGAAGGTACTTTCGTTAGGTTTCGTCGTATTCACCAAATCTTTGTTTTTTTTTTTAATTTTGAAATAATAAGTCGTATTCAATAACTAGAGATTGTTTTAATCTTATGCATATGCATAACAACTGAATTATCTCAGTGTTCGCTGTGCAGTCGGAATCTACTTTTCTGGGCGCATTACATTTTTACCATTTGAGCCTCGTAGCATAAGTTGACTACACAATTACAGCATTCAAGTGGTCTGCTACACCGAGGACACATCGTTGCATGCACGAGTGTGAGCGGTGTTCTGTGCTTAATTGCGGTGTATGACTGGAGTGACCCCATCCTAATATTTCACTCTGATTTTGTCATCTAACAGTGATTGAGGCGATCATGGGCTTTGTCTTGGTACAGTGGCTGTCAGCTGTTGTCCGCACCGCGAAAACGCTGTTAAAAATTCAGCTAGTTACATTTCAAAACATGCATGTGAACCTCAAGAAGCTACGTGATTAATCACGAATAAGTGGACTGGTCCATAATGCGAGATTGAGGGTGACGTTAGTGGTTCGTCTGGGTTAAGGTATAGTATGTTTTAAACGAACTATGCAACCATCCTGAGGGATGTTGTAGATTTTGTTACTGTGTGGGTTTCGGTTAAGTTCCGCAATAAAAACGATACGCATTCGAAGAAAACGAAGAAAATCGGAGGTCGATAGTTGGAGTAGGCGTCAGAGGGATAGGGTTCAGGATGCAGAACTTTGAGTTGGATGCACTGGTGTGAGATTGAGAAATTTCGAGCGAAATCCCATGGTACTTTAAACATCCCAATTTCTGCTAGTACAACATGAAATGGGGATTCACCACCTACAGGTCTAATAATAATAGTAATTGCAGCAGTATTTGGTGTTGAGCATGTTAGATTATTTTGCATTCCATCTATCACCACCAGAAGCCACTAGGTGGAGGCTTGGGAAAATGGCACATTAGGGCGTCTTATGTCTGCCAAAAGGAATCTTTCCCATCAAGCGAGTATTGGCTCGCAGTTCTACTTGATACCCTGCATTAAATGAGTGTTGCAGGAGCCGTTGTAAGAAAAATATTGCCTAGTACCTACTAACGAATCTCTGATAAGCACATTTTGCGTTATTCTCTCTGTATACCTACCATAGCGTCCGCTATTGGAGCACTAATCATGATTTGATTCATTGATTTCACAAACACCACTTGAGTAGCATCATGAATGTGAGTGGCTTTCCAAAGGAACAGCGCGTTCGCCAATTAAGTGGGGCGCAATAGCTTGACCTTCAAAACAGCGAATAGATTAATTACGTAGCCGACATGCTGGCGGCGTTACCTACTATCCGTTACCTATAAGCAAACTGCAGCTTCCAGTATCACTGCTTCTCGTAATCGCCTCAGTCACCTACATTCGCCTGACATGAGTAAGGGGAAAAAGGTGCTTCTCCTTTGCGCAGAAGGGGTAGAGGAAATTGAGTACATATCGATTGCCAACATACTTATTCGATGTGGAGTGAGATTCGCACTTTTGCGTAAGTGAACCAATCCACTAGGTTCGTGTCGTGACAGCGGGTGTGGAGAGCTACCACGGTGTGAAGGGACGCCAGGGCCTCTACCTCCGACCCGACTTCGCCCTCAGCAAGGTGATGGAGCACAAATTCGATGGGGTCATTCTGCCTGGTGGGGAAGGCGCAGCACAGGCGTTTTCGGAGGTCAGTTTCACTTCGGTTTCCTCATTAAACAATTTTGCCTCAAATGTAAAAAATTATCAGAAGGTATCTCTGCCCATGAGTGAACGCATGCAGGAAAGAAAAAACAGAGATTAAGTACTAATTGGAAAATGTGAAAGTCGTTTTTGCAAAGAACCACGGCGATTGCTTGGGTCGTATTATTTGCGTCGATAGAGCTCTCCCTGTCCTGGCTACATTCGATCAGCAGGACCTTGTTTATCGTCGTCCTTTGTGAATTTCGGAGCCTACTGAGTGCGAACATTCGAGCAACCCATGTACACTAATATTGCGCACATGAAATTACTTTAGAACGCCACGGGGGCATTTACAGAAGTACTTACTACAGGTTGGGTATGGCTCTCTCATTGATGTACGCAAATGAGACTTGAAATCGCATGCATGGGAATGGTGCGGTAGATTTAAGGCAAAGTAATCGCAACGATAAGTTGGTTGGATAAAGCTAGGAATCCATTCAAGTGCTTTCATGTGGACAGATAAGTTGTCTTGCAGTTGAGGAAACAGTTATCGCTGAAAAGTTGGATCATAAACAGGTGTACAAGCGGAGAAACATCGCCGTGCTTTGCTAGATGGTTGTTTGCCTTTTGCACCATTGTCAGCGGTCCTAACTGTCAAATCCGTTAACGAAATGACGCGTTTTCATGTCACTCGGTTTCTAGAGCGAATATGTTGGACGCATCCTGAAAGAGCACTACGAACGTGGCTCCCTGGTTTGTGCGATTTGTGCATCCCCCCTGGCATTGCAGGCACATCGGATCGGGATAAACAAAAAGCTGACCTCATACCCCTGCCTCAAAAACAACCTCAAGGAGTTTTATGACTATCAAGACACGAAAGTAGTGGCCGACGGTAACCTGGTGACCAGTCAGGGGCCTGGAACGACCAACGTCTTTGCTCTCAAGATTGCTGAACTTCTGGTTGGGAAGAATGTGGCAAAGGAAGTTGCCGAGAACATGTTGATTTTCAATTAATTCACTTGCATTATTTTTTTGACAATTATGGCACTCGTAATTTAGGGACTTCTAGCTCTCAGCCCATCAGGCGGTGGTTTTTATACCGACTTCAGTCTGGAGCACGCTCAAAACGACTCCATGGTATTCAGCAGATCGTCTAACAGTCATTACGATATATACGTCTATACAGCGTATTTTCTTGCTTCCAACATTTAACAAGGCATGGTCCCGAGCCTTAATTCGCCTTTGCCTAGATTTGGCCACGTTGCACGCATTTCCCCATAACTAATTCGTGCTAGGTTCCATTGCAACTGATTGTTCGGAGCAACGATAGGGCCTTGTGTTGTTCTGTGATTCCGAAATTGTTATGAGCTAATACGCTAATAACACGAATTGTTGCAGAAAACCCGCCGGTTACTTCCATGGTCTGGAGGCAATTGGCGTGGAGGTGGCGTGCCGTAGGCAAACAAATCTGCCTAGATGGAACTGATCGCAGGTGTCGTTTGTAGAATACACGCTTGCTAAATGCTTTGAGCCATTAAGTGATGCACTAAGCTGTAGAGGTCCGTACGTGAACTCGAATCCACATCAGGACCCATGACATATGCAGAAGCTGAGTAATGTGAACTGAGAAAGTAGACCAAGGTCAGTAGAGCCTCGTTGTTTGTTCAGGTACGAACTACTGGCCTTCGTGTGTGTTAAAGTGTTTACATATATATGATCGACCAGTCGATATTCGTTTAAGTCCTCACGTATTGACTTTCGTTCATTATTTTAGTGTCAACTGAATGTTTGACACTTTGTCGAACAAAAGGCACAACCTTTAGTGGCTAAGTGAACAGCAGTTGAGCCTCCAGCGTCCTCGGTCTAGAACCTCTCTGGGTACATTGTGTCTTATTGTGGCACAGCAAATTGGTGATCCCGACGTGATTTGAGCACCTGTCCTTCTGATTTGGAGTCAGATGGTCGTTAACGCAGCCTTTCTGTTGTACCTGCCCTTATTAAACACTCCATCAAGTGGCTTTGGCCGTGTGATATTAGCGCGTGTTTAGTGGGTCTATCGACGTACTCTTGAGGCGGCAATGGAATCAGAAGTAGAGCTTAGACCTGTCCAAGCTAAGAAGGATTCTATTCACTTGGCTGTTAACCTTCGGGTTGTTACTTGTGCCAGCTCATTCAGATTACGCTTCTGGCTCTATTTCAATGAGTTCTCACCCCACCTTGTGCGGTGCTTACTAAAACCCGGAAACAGTCATTTCAGGCCACGCATTGCTATTAAGCAGTTCTTCCACAGTGCAGACTGACTAGTTTGGTAGCGTAGGCTTTAAGTGTGGGCACGTGTATGTTCAAGGTTGGGCCAAATTTTCGAAAAGCATTTTCAACAAATCGATTGAATGCCCTAGAGAAGTACATGTACACAATCAACTTCGGTTTTGTCTAACAATGCATGATAAGTTCTGCATGGCCTGTGCTTGAATTACCATCAGGATTTTGTGTCCCCGACTGCCCATCTAGAAGTCATTGGACAAATGGCTTAGTCATCATCGTCGTGCGCGTACTTTGCCGAGATTGTAGCCATAAATGGCTGGCTCCGAAACCGATCACTGTGGCCTCGTTGTCGGTGAGTGTGCAAGCGTCCAACAGCCTAAATCGAGGGTGTGATTACACGGGTCCACCGCGAGCACGCTACTTTTGTAACTACCTTCGCTGTAAATGGGCAAAGTAATCAGTACCATCACGACTTTATTAATTCAGGCACATTCACGAGTGGAATGTACCAGAACATTAATCAAATTTAGACGCGTAAGCAGAAATTGTATGGCGTCGGTTTTGTGATAGTTTTGGTCAGCTTTGTTATGTGTGTGTGTGTGTGCGTGCGTGCGTGCGTGCGTGTGTGCGTGTGTGCGTGCGTGTGTAGCCTTTGACTGCTGCACGTTCAACGTTACCGTTGGTGTCAAGGTGACTCGCCTGGTTTACTGGTTAAATTGTGACAAAATTCTGTAAATCTGTTTGGTCAAATTCGCGAGAGAGGTGATTTTGTGCACGCACAATTTCGGGCTACCACATTCCAATTGTTCTTCCATGTTTCAACTTTAGTACATATTCTTAATTATAAAGGCAACATTTCTTGCTTGACTGTTTGTGTAAATGTGGCCTCCGATTCACTCCGTCTGGTGTCATTTAACCAATCGACTTATCTTGACAAATAACTCCTCTTCAATTGAAATGTGTTTTATAGGAACCAGTCCCATGTCCTCATTAATTCCTACCAACACGCTACTTTTGAAATGCAAGCTGCTATGTAAAGGTTAGAAGTTGTGTTGCACTTCGGCTGAGATGTTTCAAATCGTTTAGTTGTTGCTCAGCTTGGGCTCCGTATCGCGTTGTACGGGTTTGGACGGCAATTCCTCTTTGTTCCACAAGAACGTGGCTATCATTTCCTTGCAAAGGTCTTTAGCCCCAATAATGAAGTACAAAATGAAAAAGTCCACGATTTTGACCTCATCCACCTTTGCCCCTGATCGTGGAACGGACAAATTTTGCGATCGACAGAGGAAACGTGGCCACTGAGAAAGCTCAACAGAAACGCTCCACAAATTTCAAAGTGGACATTTTGGCCTCATTGATTCACCCTGTTCCGGCTGTCCGACTGACTTCGATGACGACCCCTCGATTGCACAGTGGAAGCAAATGGACGCCAAAGCACGTGGGATTTGGCCAAGCCTATCAATCACAACTAACTGGCTATTCGTTGTCACCCGGATTCAGTGTGTAAGATTCAACGGCGATGGCGTGAATATCAATTGCATTAACAGATCACTCGAAACACCGGTGCTTTACAGTCGCGACCGATTTGCTTCCTCGTCACACACCTCCCCTGTCACTTTCGACCGCGTACCTTATCATTCTGACATTTGTGCATTTGCTAGCTCATCGGAATTCTATTGCTTAGCAGCCTCCATCGTTCATGTATCCTTCCTGCGCAATTCACCGACTTATAGTTGTTCACACGACTTTGTGTGCAATACGACCGGACAAACACAGCGGACACAAGTTGACATGATTTGTTGCGCTCCTCTCAACATTAAATGTGCAGCTATGGTGATGCGACTACCCCGCAAACACTTTTTCCTTCTTTAGTATCCACAGGAGCCGATAACAAAGATCGTGAAAAAATGACACATCCAAGCAAACACAATCGTTTATTCACCCCCTAGACTGGAATGCGTGTCTCAGCCAGAGTCAATGAGCAACAGTCAATTATTAGATTGATGTGCAATTAACTCGTGGCTAATAAGCAGCTATTTCAGCCCAGAGAATACTTGAGACGTGACTTTTATATCACTGTCTCACACGAAGCTCTAATGTTTTGGTTTCCGATGAACATCGGATGTCAGTGTTCCAAGTCAGTGAAGTCTTGATCGGATCTGTTAGATGAAACTGTCAACTTACTCTGAATGAGACAAATGCCTGATTGGTAATTTTGATGTAAACGTGATCTTCTTGTTTCCTTATTCTATTCCCATAAATTCGGGGTACTGTACTTGATTTGTGCAGTGGCGTTGTGGCCATCATTCAAACAGCACTCGCTCTTATGAGTATGAATGTTGCCAAAATCAATTTGAAATTCGTGCACTCCTGTCCAATTTGACGTACATGAAGTCGCGAACAATGTTTGTGATGGTGTCGCAATTTCATTGGTTCTATTCCAGGCTTTGGACCTCACCAGGCCTGGACACTTGTGTCTACTTCATTGTTTACAATTAAGTTGTCGAGACGGTCAGTTTGCTCTTTTAAGATGTCGACATTTGTCTATTTGTTGAAACACTTAACCTGTTTTTCTGTCTTTAGGAATGTCTTATATTTTGTTTGCACTGCTGACATTGTTTGATTTCGCTACAGGAGAATTTCAGTCGAGGAACCATTCAGGTATTAGTAAATCTTTTGCATATTTTATGTTTTCGTAAGTTCCGATTGAAGCATAAGTTTGCTTACATTGTCAACAATATGACATTAATGATTAAGTTGGATGGGAATGTATTGTAGAACTCAATTTAAAGACGAACTCTTGCGTTCTGAAGCCCGGTCAAAAGTTACTCAGTGTCCTCCCTGGCAATGGATGGGATAATTTGGTCAATGAAGAAAGAGGACTGACAACAAACAGGGAGCGCTACGAACTTTGTCGGGTTTCGTCTGATGGGGAATACCTAATTCCTGATGATATGAATATTGGTCAGTTGCAGATTTACCTCTTTACTAATTGTTTCACAATTTTACTTCGGCGTCTGGTTTAGTCCCTGTCAGGTCAAATTTAAAAATGAAATCCCGTCCACAGTTATGTGGGGTTGATTATCAACAGTGATAAAAAGCCTCTTGACCACCCAACTATTTCCAAAAGCAAACGGTTTTTCGAATTCAGGCCCACCGTTATTAAAGCCGAGTACACAAATGTTTTCGAGCATTTAAAATCAGACACCTTGAAATACTACTAAGACTTCGCACTGACAATGCGGAAAACATCCTCAATCAGGTAATGAAATAATGTTGCGCTCTTGTCATACCACTACTAAAAGTTGGAAATATGATTTATTTGCCTTGTGCGCGTTCACAACCAAGTTTTTAGGTCCAAGGCAATTCCTCGAGAGATTATTTATCTGACCTAAAGGAGTGGGCGTTAGTTCAAGGCATCAGGAGAGTTGATAAGCGAGAAAGTCGATACACAAACACTTTATGTGTGGAAGAGTCTTGAAAACGTGTCACTCCAGACACAGCGCCCTCTTTCATGAATCTTCCGTTTTTAACTACGACAAACGTGTAGCATTGACACTGGTATTTCCAGTTGATGACGACCTTAACGGTGAGCGCTTTATTATTTTTATAGAGCCAATTAGAAGTTCACAGATTGAGCTCTCTTCAGAGGTGTTTTCTCACTTTACAAACTACACTACACTTACTGCCTATTCTATGAATACTGCTACTGGTGTTAATTTTCATCTTGCTTCCATCAGTGGGGACTTCTCCTTTGAAAAAGAATCAGTCAGAAAAGCCGAGGTACGACCTCCTGCTACACTACTGTTGGTATATTTTTCTGCTATTTCACAAGCACTATTTAATTAGGCCCGCAAGGATAATTTTATTGTTAATTTGCACATGGACGTGAAAACGTGATTGTACAATGTGTATATCCATACATTTAAGCCTAATCAATCATTTTCATATTGTACGAACGAAGGAGATACCACCTTTAGCAAAACCCTGGTTTTTTTATCATAAAAATTCGCAATTATGCTCAATTAAAAAGTTAGTTTTGCTGCTCTTGGACACGACTGACCAGCAAAATTTGTGATAATCTTTCTATTCTGCCTGATTTGTCGTAGAATTCACACGATGGACTGACTGTGAGATCACAGTTACGACACCGCTGGTATACAGTCCATCAACTGCCTGACTCACAGCTCCATCCAAGATTTCGAAACAGACTGTTGGATGTTGCCGCTCACATTGAAAGAAGCAACATCACTGCTGCAGACGGAATTAGTTATTTTGGTTCATCAGATGTTGAGGACCTCGTCGGAAGTCGGAACGGCCGAAGAAAATCCGACAGCAGCAAAAGAGCTGTTTTTCGAGTAGCGGATAGTTTGAGTGCTGCATATTTGGCCGACTTAATTGTCAGGTTGGTGCATTGCTAAACAAAGACCGTGGTTATCAGTTTTAACTGCAACTTGGTTAAAGTGTTTGCATGATTTTTTGCGAGACTAGGCATGTTTAAGTTTTACAAAAATGCAACCAAAACAATTGTGTTTGTTTTTGCGCCCTTTTACATTGTTGAATAAAGCGTTGCTATCATATATGTTCTACGCAGATCATCTGACATTAGGAAAAACGAGTTGCCAGCGAGCATCTCGTCATACTTTAATTGACAATTTTGTGGTATTATTTAATGCAGAGCTCCACTAGTTGGGGTGGAGAAAGAAAATGCACATGATTAAATCATTCACAAGACCATAAACCTCTTGTAAAAGAGGTGGAATCAATACCAAATACGACTATTCAACTAAGAAGAAATATTCTTTGGCAAAAATACCTTTCTCGAAGTGACCATGGCTTGTTAAGATGTTTATTTATTTTTTAATCAGGGACTTTGGGACCCACAGCGTGGTGGCCATTGAAGCTGGTGCCCTTGTTGCCAAAATCGACAGTCTTTCAAGTTCTACCCGGAAAATGACCAACAATGAAAAACTGGGATTTGAAACGGCTGCTTCAGCTGCATTTGCTGGGTTCTTCAGCCTGAAAACATCAGCGAAATTTGGCGACAGTGAGAAATTAGTAAGTGTCATGATAAGAGTATATACCAACGCGTAGGCTTTGCAATATGAAAAGCCAGACAATTGGGATTTGTTAATTAATGCGAAATTTGAAAACTATAGCTGTAATAAGGATTTAAAAGGAATTTCAAGAACCTTAGTTTTATATTTCATTTCTGAGACTGAGGAATTCATTTCAACTTCTTCGTAACAAAACATTAGAGAAGGAAGACAAAACAGTACTTGTACTGTATTAGGGGAACTTTTTTTCATTTTCATGGAAAGAAACTGATTCACATTTACCAGTCCCTTATGTTTTCAAATAAACAAGTTTCCGATGTAATTTTTCAGGTTTGTAGGAACGCAGTGTCACCAATAATATTCGACTGGGATATTTTGATACACCCTAAAGCGCACATTGCCATCAAAATCGTTTGGCAATGGGCGAAGTAGCCTCAACGTGTGCCCTGACACGGGTAAATAATCACCGCCCCTGATCAGTAGTAGTTCCAGTACAAGCGGCATGCTTTTCATCTGGTCTAGATTAACACAAACCATGGTCTCCACAGTCAGTCTCAGTACATAAGTTTATATAAAGGCACTGAAAAATAAAAAGTAATATCTCCATGGTGAAGTCTGTAAGAATGCTAACCAACCATAAAAAAGATGTTGATAAATACTCAACAAAGAAATAATCCTACGAATACTATTTTACGGAAGTATATAGGTACCTACTACTAAAGTCGCTTGTATCGAAACACACAGGCCGTTTTTATCTTGAATTCAAATTCTCATTTTCAGCAGCAAAATATTTTAGATAGAGTGAAGCCGTAGTTCGTGATTGTTATTTACATGTAACTTAATACATTTTACAAAATTGTATCATTAGTGTGCAGTACAACTGAGTGGCATCTACTTTCTCTCATGCCATTTTCCAGCACTGTGGGAGCATTTACCAAATGAAACGATAAATTTTTCGGCGCACTTTGATGGATACCGTGCTAGAATCTTGCATTTTTTGATTTTTTTCCAGGAAAATATGTAACATTTATATCTAGGTCGAAAACTACAATTCGAAGGTGGCGTCGAGCATGGTGTTAAGTCACGGTGGGCCCAGTCTCAAAGCGAGCGAATTAAACCTCACAAATTGGGAAATGGGTCTTGAGGACAAACTTGTGGCAATAGATCGTCGCGGGAGGCCCATCTATGACCTCATCACCCCACGTGCATTGCCTGAGCTCAGCGAATCACTCATATTCCGTCTTGTTGGCGTCGTGAAAGCTGCCGTGGAACGCTACTATGCAGCGAACTCTATTGTTGGTAAATAAAATTAAAACTCGATTAAGGGAAACGAATAAAGTTAAACACCTTATTTTTACACATAATTAACGAGACAGTTGCGATTTAAGGTAATACCAAATTTCAGCTGATGCGGATGTTTCTGTGTACGCGGTTTGACGAACAACCCTCTGCTGATGGATCACAGGATTGAGCTTTGGTTGCTTTTGACCGGTGATTTTGTTTTCAATTCATTTGGTCAAATCTAATTTGTCCCTTTCGTTATCGATAAACCAAAACGCTTCTTACAGCGAAGAACTATCTCGAATACACAACTTGAACCAAACTCGAATGTTTTGCTTTATTTTATTGGTCTCCCGCATTATTAGTTGTACAGTAAGTGTCCCTAGGCCCCACAGCTATCTTCAAATATCCTTTTCATTGTCAATCACGTAACTTAGACCCATATATTAGTAATTTAGCGTTGAAGCTGTGTGTTGTTATTAATCTGTTCGTTTAATATGGAGTCATTATAATTGAAAATTTAGATTCTTTACGCGTAGCTCAACATTCTTCTTTGTAATGTTTAGGATGTCTTGATCCCCTGTCGATCTTCTACGACAATGCCGCCAACGTAGCCGCCGACCACTGTGAGGACACGCCCTTCCATGACACAACTGCAGACAGTGAGACCGCACAACTTCCATTCGGTGGCATCTACACTACATGTGAAGGTCCCCAAGACCTCTGCTCACATTATATAATTCCAAATCCTGCAACTGGTAATACAAGTTGTCCTGATGGTTACTGGTCTACTAAACTTCTTCCTCCGCAAGTTCGTTCCTGCGCAGTCAATTGCCAAAATCAAGGCGTGTTCCAGCAGCCAGATTGTGTCCACGAATGTGCAGTAACTCTGTCCTACTGGTGTGCTGTCAATCCAATGACCAACAACACTAAAAAAGAACTGGGTTTCCTATTTGGTGGTCTATATACTGACACTTCGACGAACCCGATCACTAATGCACAGACATGTCCCTTGTACTACGAGCCACTGCAACTAGGCCGGCGGATACGAGTCTGTGTTTCAACTGATCGGGAGTTTGGACGTCGATATTCCCTAGCCTTTGGCGGCTTCTATGCGTGTCAATCAGGTAACCCGCTGTACGATGTACTCTCGCTCAACACCACCACTTGGCAAAAAGTGCAGCAGGAAAAAAGAAAATTTTTTGGTGATCCGAAGAACACTCCAGTAGATGAATTAGCGCGAGGAAACGACAATGGTGAGAATTCGCCCTTGGTGTGGCCTAAGCAATGTCCCAATGGATATACTTCTCACATGGCTGCTATTGAAGATACATGTCTGGTAAATATCCCTGCATTGTAAAATTTTTGCGGTAGCTAAAATTTCTCCTCCAGTATTATATGCAATGAACATATCTTTCCACGCCTATATACTAATACTGACAAAGTAATTTCTTCCTGCGATCCAATGGATTTTATCAAAACATGCTAGTCATTGAAATTAGCACCAAATAAGCTTGGTTTAGGCCAACTTAATTGACTAGGATTCGGACCTGATCAAGAAGAATAGCAACTAGTGCAGTCTTGAAATGTGAAATTATTTATCGACTTCTGTGCCATTTCTACTCATGTGCAATAAGTGCTGCACTGGAGTCCCCAAGTGTGCATTTTGTGGTGATCAACGAAAATGTAGCCCAGTTGCACGGGAGCTGATACACTCACTAATGCTCACACCCGATTAGTATTTTTCAATGAGGTTCCGACCAAAGTATAACTGGACTGTGCCTTTTGCTCATGCCATTGCTACGTAAACATTTAACCCACTACTGCGTATGAATTTTTAGGTTAACTACTGCATCCCAGCCAACTCACTTAAAACAGTAAAGGAACGTCAACTCAAGAGACCTCCATTTATTCAGCTTGTGAGTTATAATTTCGCATTAACGACGAGTTATTTTGCACCCCTTACTTATTTAAATGCTTTATTGGTGTTTACGTCTTTGCAAATTCTGGAATTTCTAAAGTTTCGTTAAGACGGAATTCAAATGAACTCTGCTCTACCTATAGACAATACAACGCACTGCTTGTTAATTTAGCCTGAATTTGTGGACTCCGCAGTGGGGAAAGAATTTGAGGAAGCATATAATGGACCTCTACGCCTGGTTGACGCATCTTCTGGACGTGTTTATCAGAGAGATCATGGAGATTGGGTAATGGAGTCAAGGGAGGACGAAAGGACTAGCAATATCACTTCTGTGATCCAAATCTGCGCCGCTGTCATGGGCTCAGTGGTGCTGGTAATAGTTTTGGCTGTCATCATTCTTTACGTTAACAAGAGATTTGATTGCCGACGTCGCGACCCATGCAATCAGGAAGGGGTCATGGCAACATAGCATTAATGGATCCAGTTTACTTTAATCAATCGGACTAACATCAATCGCACAATGTTTCGTACGTTTTCAGATTACTAAAAAAGATATCATTATGACTTGCTTCAATTTACTAGCATTCAGGCCTGATCAAACTTTAAAGGCGACCTTGCATTTACGAATATTTAGATTTTTTAAAACATTTCGGTCCTCATTTAACAAACATTAGTTTCTCATTCATTATCGTGTTTTCTGATTAATTCTCTTATATTCACCCTCACTGAATTCATTTGCACTGTGCAAAGCAGCAGAAGTATCAAACGTCTTTTTAATAGACTAAACGGACTACACATTTCTGCTGTTTTTTACTGATGAGCACCTTTGCAGAGTTCAAGCCTACAGAGAGCAGCATATTCGACAATCTAACAGGCTTAAAAAAATTCATGATAGATATACATTTGCTGATTTGTGAATTGCAGTAATGTCGAATTGAGCAATTTGGCGAATAGGTAATGCAGCCAATTATGCACCCAAATATCGTACCGGTATAAAGTATCACAAACCTGCCTAATACATCATCAAAAATGTCTATTCTCATAAGAGCGAGTGCTGTTTGAATGATGGCCACAACGCCACTGCACAAATCAAGTACAGTACCCCGAATTTATGGGAA